GATAATTTTTTATTTCGAATATTTCGAGCACGCCTGTGCTCTTCCTCAGCGATAACACGTATGATTAAAAAAGCTTTACAAACTAGCAATAGGGGATAAACAATATAGCAGTGACTAAGATAAATTGATATAAGATATATATAGGATATATAGGATATATATAACGTTTTCATATTATTTACTGTGTATTTTTATGTATACAATTTATCTGTAATGTTAATGTTTTGAAAAGAAAGTCCTGCTTTAAGATTCAATGTGTCCCGCTTTTGGACGTAGAGGGGTTGGAATGTTTGACAGCGGTCACCAGGCAATTAGGTGGTATATGCCAGTTTCTCGAAAATTTTCGTTTGAAATTTAGCGAAAATGGTGTCAGTTATCCATTTTACACAAAAAATAAAAGTCCCTTCAAACACCTCTTTCGAATAAACCCTTCTCTAGAATCGCATAGGGTGTCTATTGTTTCAGCCAGGCCCGTAGGCAGGATTTTCGATGGGGAGGTGCGTTTACAACCGAAGTGGACCTTACGATGGGCGACTGACTAGGGATCCCTGCGAGGGTGGGGCGAATCTTCTGGAAGCTCTGACAAAGTAGCATTTTAAGGGCCCTTTTTAATGGATTTCTAAAATCCATAATTTGTAATATCCTATTTCAATTTTCATTCATTTGAGTATTGTCTAGGGACCTACAGAAAAGCAGGAAAAATAGAGGGTGGGGGTGAAGGGAGGAACTTGCACCGACAGATGGTCAATACCACCTCAGCCCCACCATGGTTGGGGCTTAGGTAAGAAAATGTATGATTATGGCACCTCAAAATGGCCGGAAATGGCACTCTCCTATGATTTTTCTTTTTTTTCCATTTCTTTTATAATTTTAGGGGGCTCCCCCCCCTGAATCCAGTGCTGTGAAATTATAATTTTTCATGTCTTTTACATCTGTAGGCCTACAATCACTGGAGCTGATAATTTCCAACAGATTTCGTAGCACATTATTAAAAATCAACGGGTAGAAGAGTGGGAAAAAATGTAATGCATACTATAGCATTTCGCGATAATTGGG